ACATCAATTAATGCAACGTCAACATACACAGCAATAACACANGAGGAACGCGTGCTGTGTGAGGAACGCGTGCTGTGTGAGGAACGCGTGCTGTGTGAGGAACGCGTGCTGTGTGAGGAACGCGTGCTGTGTGAGATTAGGGAGGGTTGCTGCCGTTGTCATGGCAACAAGAATTACACTTGAGATTTATGTGTTCAAATAAGGGATAAATTCCCACAATATGAGTGGATCCATTGGAATTAAATGGATATAAATGGTTAGATGTAAATGTTATCATGAGATGTATCATCATCATTTTATCATTTGAATGTAAACGTTGTCAAGAGAAAATGATGTTGATGATTTTTCATCGTCATTATATCGCTTGATTTCTGCTCTTGCGTTTCGCTTGCTACTTTTCCTGTTTTTTTTTATAGATTATATACATCATAGATTTTTTTGCATATTCGCTTAGCTATAATTTGCATTGAAGTTTCTAACACATGTATTGAGCTGCAATATATTTAATGTATATGAGTTTCCCAGCTGCAACTCTATGTGATAAACAAGACGCAAGTACACTATGCAGTGAGAGCGACGAGTCATTGTGATGGCGAGAAGAATGCGACGCTCTTATGTTAATAATTTCCCCGCCATTTTCCTAGGAACGAAAGAAATAATCTTCAACGTTGCCGACATTTGGGAAATTGTCTGACATTCAAGTGAGCAAGCGGCACAAGAGAACACGAATAAAACTTCGTCTCCATTTTGACAGACTCTCCTTGTCAATTTTATAGCAATATTGCGTAGGCAATATCGAAGCTCGCCGGTGTTTTCAGCTTTGTGATAAACATCACGTGCCTGGCAACGTGACTGCCTTCACTACGACTCTTCGATAAAGACAATGACTATATCATTTATCAAACTTTCTTTGTTTCATAAAAATTGTTTTTCTTGAAGAGAAAACACAATATTTTTTTCCAACTTACGGTAGAAATATACCATTCCATGATCATGCATACAGCGATTGATTTGATAAAATGAAGTCGGTAATTGATTTAGCTTAATTTTTCCATTATTTTTTAAATAACTTACTGCTAGCAAGTTAGCAACGCTCGCTCTCTTAAAACGTCAATTTCTGCTATGATTCAGTCAATGCTGGCTATTTTATAATATCGAGACAAAATGTACGTTTTTAAGCATCAAGAAAGTATTTTTCTAGTTCATATATGTTTACTTATTCGATAAGGAAGATATCTGAAAAAAATAATTACAAATTTAAATTGATAATTTACGAATAAATGTTTTATTTGTGCTCTCATTTTAATATGGAAAAAGGTTGTTGAGTTATCCTCAGTAACTCTGATCAGTTCTGCAGTCATACTCTTGTATGTTCCATATTGGATTCTAATTAAGCTCAGCGAATGTCATTACCGCTTTATTCCACGAAGAGAAGGGGCGGTGTGATGGGGGAATGGAGTTTAAAAATGCATGGGATGATAAGATGAGTATAAAAATGTAAGTTATTCTGATTAAATGAAGTACAGGGAAGAGGCAGGTCTAGAGTGATGCTGACACATTAGAGTTATGCAGAATTTAATTAGCAAGGGAAAAGAAATTCATGAAAATACAAAAAAATTATGGAGAGAAAAAAGGTGTTGGTTGAGATCAGCGGTGAAAATCCGACATTTATAACTTTAACAGACAGCATGGAATGAAAATTTAATTATTTTACCACGGCCCTTTCGGTTTTTAATGCGAATTTGTTTTTATTGTTTTTTTTGTTTGTTTGTTTTAACTTGTTTTTAATGCGAATGTATAATTTCACATGAAAGTACGTGAAAATTTTGGTTTTAACTTTCCTTGCCCTAACTTTATCATTATAAATGTAATACTATATAATTATTAAACGTAACCTTTAAGTTTAAACCTAAAAACCTAACTTAATGACTATAAAAAAATTTCCCATGTAGGGAAGGCAAGATTGGATTCGTTAAATGGCAACAGAGCTCGCTGCTGCCTCTCAAATAGCAGTTGTTGTTGTTGCACTGATTAGTCGTTATATCCACATTAGCGCAGCCAATTTTACCACGGCAAAAATAATGACGGTATTGCGCCTATGAAGATGGGATATGCGAGTGGACTAGGGAGAAGGACTGCCTCGAGGAGAGTCCATTCTTGTAACGTTTTGTGGACTTGAGCTCATGCGACGACCGGTCAATGTTTTCATTTTAATGAGGCAGCCAATACGCATGTAAATAAACTCAAAGTTCTCGATGCAAGCAACCATTTTCAATTTAATGAAAGGCATGTGGCATAATAAAACTCGGAACAATATGTGTGCAATTCCCCAAATCTAAGCAGAGTTGAAATATTTTTAATATTAATGAAATTTATTATTCTTAGTTTCTTAAAGGTATCTCATTCCTCGACGAACATCGCATTCAGTACCCAATGGAATAACGAGACGATTGAAAATGTCACTGCATCCGAGTGCCCGCGATGTTTGGCCGTTCGTATTCGTTTCAAGATGACAGTTTGATTGGAGCCCCAAACGGCGGGTCCGAACGCACGGTATCCCAAACACTGCAGCAATTATGTTGCGCTATTGCTATCACCGCCGATATTCAATCTTCATTAGCACAAATATTGCCTAGGATCCAAGCCAGTATAGGGAACGTCCATTAGGCTTGAGCAAGCCAAAGTAGGATCAGAGGCAAGAGGTAAGCTGGGCATGTTTTGGCCGAGCTGTCAGTGTTAAGCAAATCACGTTTTATTCTAATTACTAGTGAAGCGCTTCTTTCTGGTAATAAATGTTACTATTTAACGTGGATTTCACCAGAGTTTACAGTAGGTTATATATTTTGGCTATAGTTTGAAGGCTAGCGGAAGCAAGACGTAATAACTCGACACAGTGAGTCAACTTTTTGATGCAAATCGCGATTGGCAATAGATACACATAAACCAACAAACAATCCATAGAATAATTAAGGAGAATATTTAAGTTTTTAACAACATAAGCACAATGAAAAGATTTGAATTCATGACTGTAATGAAAAATTTGTCACGAAGATTCTGCCTCTAAAGACTTACATGTTAATAAGTTACTAGCAAGACGCTACAACTTCAAAAGTGAGCATGGCATTGTAAATACACCACTTAGCCTTAATTGACGTTTTCTTTAGAAGCAAGCAGAATTTGTAAGTGCTTTTCTGCTTGGTCAAACAGGCCAGTCACTGCCAGGACTGGGCGAGTAATTATTTAAATGGTGACATTTCTCGTAAATGAGCCTTGCTTCCAACTTTATTGTCTAATGAGAAAATTTTCTCGAATTTAGGAAGGCATAGCCATTGATTTTTATAACGTGATCAGAATATCTACAGATATCAACGAAATAAAGTTAAGGTTGAACAGCTCATTTTGTCCATAACGCTATTTTTGCCTGAATACGAAGGAATATTTGCAAATTATCTGATTATGTTTATTTAGCAGAAGAAAATATTTAGAGACGTATTATCTGGAAGTAGCGTCTATAACAGTCGCAAGGCGGACACAACTCCGAAGCACCAGCTCCCGAGCGTGCGTGTGATGTGTTGCATTCTTCAGGGATGCATGGGGCCAATCACCAGCCTGAGATTCCAATCTGCCTTGCAGTGACCCGACCTAATAGCCTATAGTGGCGGCCCAAGTTCGTAGCTTCGAGCTTCTCTAATTGATGGAATTTCAATTAGGAAGGGAAGGTATATCTAGACCGAAGATGGGCTTAATTCTACTTCACAAACAACACTTGACGTTAACGCGATAAATGGAGCATTTCAAGTGCTTAATAAAAGTTTTGGCTAACATTTTTTGGTTCGTCAAGGTGTGAGCGAGATGCACTAGTCCCTCCTTGGAGATGTTTTTCAGAATTCAAATGAAGTCCATGGCTTCAAAGTTGGAATTGGACTTAATTTATTCCAGCCTAACTTTCCTAATCGATTAGTCCGTCACGGTCATTTAATTCTCTAGTGAATGAAGAAAGTGATATCTTTATTTTGTAGCTCTTACAATTTTGCTTCTTCAGCCTGAGGAAGAATCTTTTGAGGCATTTTCAGCCTAAATTTTTCTCTTGGAAAATCTTATTTATTAAGCATTGATAATTTACGAGTCCATTGACTTGAGATCTTAATGAAGCGTTTAGTGATGTATCAGTTAATTGTCTGGTAGGTATAGAAGAAAACCAAGTTCAGGATTCGTTCACAAAAATCCTGGATTTGCCCATATAAATTCTATATTTGCTCATATAAATTCTGGATTTACTCATATAAATCCTAGGTTTGCTCATATAAATCCTGGATTTGCTCATATAAATCCTGGATTTGCTCATATAAATTCTGGATTTGCTCATATAAATTCTAGATTTACTCATATAAATTCTAGATTTACTCATATAAATCCTGGATTTGCTCATATAAATTCTGGATTTGCTCATATAAATTCTAGATTTACTCCTATAAATTCTGGAATTGCTCATATAAATCCTGGATTTGCGCATATAAATCCCGGATTTACTCATATAAATACTAGATTTACTCATATAAATTCTGAATTTGCTTATATAAATCTGGGATTTGCTTATATAAATCCTGGATTTGCTCATATAAATCCTAGATTTGCTCATATAAATCCTGGATTTGCTCATATAAATCCTGGATTTGTTCATATAAATCCTGAATTCGCCCATACAAATTTTAAACTTACTCCCAAAAATTTTGGATTTGCTGCCAAAAATCTTGGATTTGCTCAGTACATTTTTTAATTTACTCTCGAAAATTCTGTGCTTGTTAACTTCTAAGAAATATTTTGTTCAGACTCAGATATTGCGATTTTCTAATCAAACAATATTCATACATTGCCTGCTTGCAACGTTTAAGTTAGAACGCAACCATCTCTGAATGGCAGTGAATTAAGCAATCGCAAAACAGGTTGACAATTAATGCGCACAGCATAATTGTTGCAAGGGAAATGAACGTTTTAAAAGAATGTATAAAAACCTGCAGGTGAAACAGCATTTAAAGTACATGCATTGTACTTCAAGTAATCCCTACACGTCTGGCTCATCTCTAAAAAGACAACTCGTGCGTCAGATGTCTTGCATAAAGTGAACATTTCATAAGTAGTTCTTTTTCATACAGAAATAATTTGAAGTCTTACAAAAAAACGTGTAAGTTCCCAAAAATCGTGAAATTTAATTTACGACATTTTACATTCATGTTTTATTTGAAGCGTAGGAGCTTATCAGTAACCCACATTCAACTGCTGTATTAAAAATATGAATGAAACCTTAGAGTACTGGTGGTGGTACTGGTGGAGGTGGTGACGGTGGAGGTGGTAGTGGAGGTGGTAGTGGAGGTGGTAGTGGAGGTGGAGGTGGTAGTGGAGGTGGTAGTGGAGGTGGAGGTGGTAGTGGAGGTGGAGGTGGTAGTGGAGATGGAGGTGGTATGTGGTGGTAGAGGTGGAGTCGGTGGTGGTGGTTGTGACGAAGTAGTTGCACGGTGGTGGAGGCAGTGGTAGTGGAGTTGTAGCTCAGATTCCTGAATACTTCAGTTCCGCCATCCGAGATTCATAAGCACCGCGCACCGCTGGCAGAAATTCCCGCCAGTTTTACAGAATGGAAGATGTTAGGAGGGAGCCTGCGGTGCCGGACGCTCGTAAAATATCACTTTAATTCAACACAATAAGCCAATGAACTTAGAAACTTGATAATAATAATATACAGAGTTTCTGAGCTGCTAACCTCAAGAAATACCCGTAGATAACAAACATGATAACTTTTTAGCTTATAAGGCAGTCATTCGGTTTATTGCAAAGTTATTCATACGCAGAGTGAATGTACTTGCATTTTTTTCAAAATTAATAGGTGATGCTTAGGATCGGAGTACATATTATAATGATAAAATTTCAGTAATAAATCACTCTCAATGGGGAAAATGTTTGTAGTTAGACCTTAAAGCGTTTATTGTGCGAGTAAAATAAAAACTTTGAAATGAAACCTAGATTCTCTGTAATGAGATTCTTATGTCTCGGGTTTAATTAGGAATGGAACAAAAATTTTATATAAATGGTAATGAGATGTGGTAAAAATTAACGAACGCCGTATAAGAAGAATGCATAAAAAGTGCCTGCATAATTCAGACGAAGTATTTTCCGAATAAACTTCATTAACGTTTTCTCCAGCAAGTAGCCGACATAATAGACAACGGTATTCGAGGTAACCAGGTAGATTCGAAACAATTTTCTGAAGTTCTAATCTATAATTAAAACTAGCAGGTAAACCTAGCTTTGCTTGGGTTAGATAATCACGAATAAATTCAACCATGATTTTTAAATCGTTAGCCTGAGGAAGGAAGAAAAAAATTAATTTTAAGACAAAATTTCCCTCTAACCTCTCTATTTTTTTCATTCATTCATGTTTTTTTGGATTTAATATTTGTTTATAGCCCGACTGTACTGGTATTGCAGGAACGCTTCCTAACATCCCCTGAATATTAATATTCCAATACCATTTTATCTTAATCAATCGGAAGAAAACCGGCTACTGCACCATGCTGATAATTCTAAAACTAAATACTTGTGAATAAATCGAAAACTCATTGAGACTATTTCATTACCTAACGAAATACTCGAGTTCGTCTCAAGTTTCGCAATTTTAAATAGTTTTAACTAATCTCAAACAAAGTTTTAATGAACATTTTTAAATAAACAACTAGTTGAATTTAAGTTCTAAATCTATTGACTAATTTATAAATTTCCTGTTCTTAAAAACCCAAATTCAAACTTTGTAAATTAACATATCTCAAAGTGGTAGGTATCACAGCTATACGGGCTCTATAAACCACCGAGACATATTTGCTGACAATTCCAGGCTTAAGCAAACACGACCCCATGAGCCAACACGGAAACAATCACACGGTATAATTAACATGACATTTGATGCCAGAGCTCAGATGGTTAGGAATAACTCGTAGCAATATAATTAATGTAGACAAACCTGATAATAAGAATCACAATATGAGCAGCCTAAACGTACGTCTTCGGTATGCTATTCACAACACAAGCATGGAGGAGCTTTCAGATCGAATAATTTCTGTACGTCATCCTCTGCTCGTCTACGCTTCGAAAAACGTCCATTCGTTTTTCATAAATGTAATATTTTTTCAATTTTATTCATGATTTGTCGAAAAATGGCACGAATCCCGATAAATAATTTCTGAAATAAATTTCGCTTCGCTCGAACGAGCGCTTGAACAACTTTTTGCCGATCTAAAGACTGTTCCCGTCACAAACATTCTCCAATGCATTTCAAAATTCTAGGATTCTCTGACAATCATGGCAGCATTAATCTCTATTTCCAAGTTAGCAGAGCTGCCGGAGAGCGGGAGATGGGGGACGAGAGAGGGACGTTGGTGGAAGCAGTGGCTCTACACGAGCTTTATTCATTGCTATCGACAGGTTTTCATAGAGCAGCAGTGCCAGTCTGTGGATCGTATATAAGGGAACAATTCGGAAGACGGAGCAGTGAAGCATGATGGGAAGTTTGAGGCAGAGCGAGCAGCAGTTCGCTGCAATCAGGCTGGATTAGAGAGCAATCTTGAGGAGGATCTTGGTCTCGGTCGAACAACTCGCGACACAAGTCTATCTTGGAGCTCATCCTGGTCCTTAGACTAACACCGGAGGAGCATTTCAATGGGCGTATTGTAATTAACTGCCAAACTTGTGCATTAATTAATGCTGGGGAATAATAAGCTCCTTGGAACTTTGCAATCCACGCACCGCCGAGGAGGTCTGCCACCCTATAATGGTGAACGCATCTCAGGAATTAACATCCACAGATTGTCCAGCTTCGTTTCTTAAGACGTGTCGAGAATAATTAACTCATCTGCATGCATAACAACCTAGAAGAGTTTTCCCGCTCGAGCTCCCGAGAATCTGAGAAGAATGGAGCCTCAAGATTGCATTTTGCAGAGTTTCTCGCGCACAAGCGTTATGCTCTATTTAAGGAAGGGGATCTTTCAGACGATATTTTGTCTCGAAAATTGCCAACTTCGACGTCCTCGATCCGAGCTCCCGGCAGAACTGAAACAATATGTTCCGCGTTGCATCGTATTTTACGCTGCCGACCTTTCAAACTGATCGCAAACTTGCTTATTGCGCATGAATATTATAGTATAGGAAATGACTTTTAGGCTTGAATATACGGGTATAGCAAAACTTGAGTTTTATAAATCATACGGGAATATATTTGAATCGCCGTTTTTATATTCTCTGTAGACTTACGCAAGCACCCGAAATCATTTTTAAGTGATAATGAATAAACTTTCAAATGTCCCTTGCTTTGCATTCAAATGTCCTATGACAACAAACCTCTTATTTATTATTTGTTCAAAGTTTGTGTTCTGGTTCTCAACCGAACTTTGAACTTTCTGAACTTTAAACTTGCTTGTTATGCTGGCGATGTCATTAAATGTTATCAGTTATCAATCTCTTATAAAACCAGTAATAAACAACCAGAGAAGTTCATGAAGATAAGGACAATGGTTCACACATGTTTCTCATTAATGAAGTAAGATGAGAGCTACGATTCACGATGCGTCAAATTTTCGCATGACATAATAACTCCGATAACTTAAAAGATTTCTTACATAATTTCTGATTGGCAGAAATGATTGTAAAATTTATTAATTATGTTATAGATCTGATGCAATAAGCATTTATAACTATTGGGTGTAAAAAATTGTTTCCGATAATTTTGGAGTGTGGTTCCACATCTCAGTCAATCTTTGTGGCCGAGTTCCAACAGAACCGTTGAATCTCGTTGCCGTTTGCAATAACTGACGGTTGGAAATTTATAACTTGCAAAGTTTCTGAAGACAATCCAATGTTTCTTTCGAGGAAGACAAGCAACGTACGATTCTGCTCTCAACTTGACAATCGCCTCATTTGTCAGAGTCGTGTGACCGGAAAATTCAAGGAATTGCACCGAAGAAAATCTGTCATCGTTGCGTGTATTGAATTGCATTGGATTAATAAATGGCTTTCACAGTTTTATGTACAGCAATTTTTGCGGTGATTCCACGCTGCTACACGATTGTTGTTTGCATGGCTCGTATGATTAACTGCATGTTAATCCCGCCCTCGAAATTCGCCCTTCGGTATGCTTCAGAATCTGATTCGCACAGACCCGGATTCGAATGGCATTGTCTTACGGAATTGGAAGATTTCAACTGACGCATGATTTGCATTATCTAAATTGACTAGGACACGTTGATTATTTCAAAATTAAAGATTCACATGCACTAATTTCCAATCATGAATAATGTCTTGAATATTAAAAAATAAACGGTTCTATTTAGCGTACAGCCGCTCACAGACTCAAGTTCGCTCGAAGGCGCATCTGAAACTGAAATGCAATCTAAGTCCGGAGAAAGTGGCGTGACCTCGTTAACAAGGGAAAAGCGGCCTCTCCCGCCCAAACTTGTCAAAAGAAGTATTAGTCTTATGCTGCACAAGGGCTTTCTGGGCTCCATTATAAATTAATATGATAATTGGCTAATCAGAAACCAATTTAAACTCGCTAACTTTAGATGATAAATTAGGAAGTTGCGGAAGTATATCGAATACTTGTTCATTAAGAAGCTATTAGCTCGATAATTATAATTCGAGGCTTAGCCTCAAAGGTGAATTTTGTAAGGCTTGCTGCTTCTGAACATTCTGGTGAAAAAAAAAACAGAACTTTGGTGCCAAACTTCAATGGCTACGACGAGTAGACACGCGAAGATATTCTCTTCAGGCGCGCAATAAAATAATTAATTTTGCGTAGGAATTACTCCGTGATAAGTTCATGATCCGAGAAATTAATAGTAAATCACTGACCAGCGGCCACGGCGCAGAATGACATGATTTTGTAAATTGATCATACGCTTACCTTTTACGCAGGCAGCGTGATCAGCTAGCAGTTCCTGAATTAGATACGTTGTAACAACTATCATCGTCGCAACCAAGTATATGGAAGAAATAATGGACGGATCGGTAATAGACAAGGGAAAAATTAGTCCAATTCCTTCCTTTAGGACAAATGCTTTGAATTGATATAATATCACAAACATTAATTATAATCTGGTATGCACCAAGCTATTAATGGTTATAAAATTCTCAAACCCAGGTAACCTGGAGTTGAAGTTTGACGATTCAATTGTTCTTTGATAGCAGATGGTAATTCCGGAGTTAGGTTAATAATTGTAATGCGTATTGAACGAGGTGGGCGAGCCGGCCTGCTGCCAGTGCTCCAACGCTTCTAACTACGGCATAGATTGAAGTTGATTTTGCGTGAAATCTACTAGAACAGGACCGTCGCCGTCTAGATGTTTTCATTAAAAAAGAGGTATTCACAAACCATTTTTCAGTTGTTGAATTGTTACAGAATTTTCTAATCAGTCAGGTGAGGGATTCGTACACATGAACTGCAATAGGTTAATATTGATTGATATACAACACAACTTCACCAGCTCATGGCAGCGAAATAATGTTTCAGATGACAAAGATCGCGGTCGTCTAATCCAGCAAAAACAGCGCCTGTTTACTACGTGGTATTTATCTAAAATAATTAAATTTATTTAGAATACTATAACACACATCGCGAATAATAACTATGAAAAACCGTTATTTTCATGATAGCAAGTTTCGTGGAAAACAACGTCAGTATATCGTGCAATTATTGAACAGTGGTACTCGGGCTCATGTTGAGCCGACGCTCATCTAAAATTCATTATGTCAAATGCTATGGCAATAATGGACGTCGAATGAAAACCCTCGAGAAAATCACGATTTGGGGTTAACGACACACTGTAAATAAAACTGAAATATTAATAAATATTATTCTGATCGTTCATTTGAAATTGAGGAATCAATTGATTTTCCTTGATTCCACGATTTGAAATCGAGTAATCAAGGTTGAATATCTACTCTTTCTTCGGCTTACGACTCGTGTATGAGGAAACTTAAGAGGTGCGTCTAGTGAGAATGTTCACGAATTGATCCATTCAAGTTAGTTAGCAACCTGCTTAACCATAATAAGTGACCGCGACTTCTCGACACAATGAAAGTAAGGAAGAAAGACTATATAAACAATTGTAATTTCGGATCATGGACTGAACTAAAAAGATTTGAAAACATCTTAAAAAATCTCGAAAGAGTAATGGATTTTCAAAATTTTTCTATATAGCATTATAGATAAGCTGAATTTATTTATTTAGTTTTATTAGGAGTTAATTTGGAAATTATCGAACTGAACGCTGACAAAAACGTGAATAAAATCGAACTCTTAATAAACTGTATTACCAAATTTTCCTCGTGCAAAACATAAATAACGCTTATTTATGCGATAACGTAACAAAATAGGAAACGTATAAATAAACCAAAGTACCTCGCTGACAGAAAGTAAGAAATATCGAAGATAATCTTGTGAAGCCCAACCTCGTTGAGGTAAACTTGCCCGAGAAATGATTCCGCCGCCTCATCTGTATTGCAAAATCGGAACTTTTTGGTAACAAGTCGGAATTCGATGGGACCGCAAACATCGGCGGCGTTATTATCCAATGGCTAAACCAATTAAACTTTAGCCATTACCGCCATCTGGTGGTTGCTTTATAACCAGCCGCCGAGGATCGAAGCTGCCGCAAAGGTACCTACCTAATACCCTTAAAATCCACTCCTAGCGGTGGATAACAAATGCCAGTTTTATCCCTGAAGTTTTTTTTTAGAATTTTTTAGCAGCTAGTTTTCCCGCGGATCGTTTTACAAAACTTTTGTTGCAGCGGTCGATTGATGACGTTGCCTAAATATGGATGACATCATGTCCCAAATTTTAATTTTAATGGAAATTAAGATAACACGACCCACAATCACTACAAAATTTAGATGATAAAAAGAAATTTGTATGCAAATTCTAGATTAGACTCCTATTAATTTTTGGTTGGACTTTTATTAAGTTCTTCTGCAGTGTACTTCAAGTCTCATTTACAGAATTAAATGACCCGAAAAAAAATTTCCGCTCAGATTAACCCAACGACCAACATAAATAACTACTTCAAAAATAATATAGTATACATAATCTAAATTGAATTACATCGATAGATGGCCTATTCGTGTTTGTATAGTTACGCTAACAGTGCCGTGAAAGAATGATCTAGGATGAACCTGTCCAGCGTTGTGAGTTGGTAGTCTGATTTAGGGGGCCTCCACCCCCCCTCCAGAGCGAGGGACCAACATCGATCAACCGGGGCCAGGAAATTGCCACATGTTTGACAAGCGCTGCAGACCAGCAAACTTGCTGCAGACTAGCTGCAGACTCGCTGCAGACTTGCTGCAGACTAGCTGCAGACCAGAAAACTTGCTGCAGACTAGCTGCAGACTACCTTCAGACTCGCTACAGACACGCTACAGGCCCACGTACAGCAGGACGCTAAGCAAGATTGTGCCTGGAACTCAGCAATTTTCATACATGCAGGTGGGAACCCTCAGGCACTGATAGAACATTTCTGTGCTCATGAGACTGCCATGCAGGAGTATAAGATAATTTTGTTCATTAATTTGGCTGGTGAAAATAGTATCGAGATTATCCCGATCGCGCACGGATCAGATAAGAACAGCTAGTGTTCTTGATTATAACAATTACGTTCATGACCAGCTTGGTTGGTTGAAAGAAGCCTTGGCTGCCGGTTTATCGTCGCGGTAAACAGGGAATAAAGACGGCAAACACAGCCGGCACGCAGCAAACAACCCACCAAGCTTCGGTCAACACATTTCGCTCAAACTAAAACATTGTCACCGATGCGAGGCCTTGACATGCGCACCAAGATGGCTGCGCTTGGTTGACGGCTCTGCAGAAGCTCTGCGCTCGGTTGACGGCCGCAGAGAAGCTCTGCGCTCGGTTGACGGCTGCAGAGAAGCTCTGCGCTCGGTTGACGGCTACAGAGAAGCTCTACGCTCGGTTGACGGCTACAGAGAAGCTCTACGCTCGGTTGACGGCTACAGAGAAGCTCTACGCTCGATTGACGGCTCTAGAGAAGCTATGCTTTGATTAGAAATAATTTTCCTTCTTTTGATTTCAAAATTTATTTGAAATAATTATCATTCAATTGATTTCGACCGCCGATATCGAAATAATTTTCACTTCAAAAATATGTCGAAAGTTTCAATGAAAATATACCCACGTGTCGTTCAAATAATTTTATATTCTATAAATTACCAAGTAAACATTAATTCCTACTCTTTAGCTTTAAAAGACTGGAAGGCATTGAATCAAATCGGCTAAGTGAAAATACATATAATTCGTCAATTACAAACATAATTATTGTTTGAAATGATGGCGCTATTGTTTTACTGCTAGATATAAAACAGTTTCTATATGTGGGTTCCAGTCAAATACATTACGGGACGAAAATTCACTGATCACTTTATTTTTATTTACAGATTGTAAACATTGGCCTGTCGCAGATATAAAAACGCGAGCACATGCAGCGTCTAATGCAATTAAACTTAAGGAGCAAGTGAACGGTAAAGGCAATTAATAAAAGCTCAATTGTACATAGATAAACAAAAAGGAGCTGTAGATGAGAGCTTGTTTCATTCATCTTTTCCTGGAACGTCAAGCGAAAATAAATAGAGCGAGCTTGATATTGAAAAATATTATTTCAGTAAGGGACGCTCTAGCTTCTAAACAAAGCGGATGCCGAGTAGCTATAAAACATTTTTTGAGTTAATTTCGTTCAAAATGGATTATATTTTGTTCATGAAGTGCTGGATTTTGCACGGAACTGAATTTTGTTGGAGTTTGAGATTCAAAACTTCATATACGGTGTATGTATACATGGTTTTTGCACTTCATCAGAAATCTCAGAGTAGAGGGCTCTAGTAACGACGCTTCTACTGTATTAAAGCCGTGTACAGTAAAGCTTTAGAACGAGTTATGGCTCGAATAGCATCATGTAAATTGAAGCCTTTAACTGAATTTTGCCTAAGATTTATTCATGTCAGAAACATTTCTTTATGTTAGAGGAAGGAGATCATCACAGCGAGACGGTCGTAAAATAATGAATAGCTCGCGTAGTGCCCGTCTTTGTCAAATTCGAGGCCACTTCTGGACAGATTTTACTATTCCCAGATTCTTTTGAGCATTTTCAACTTATTTGGCGTGAGTATCGAGGGTTGTGATGGCTGAGGGCCATTTACGAGTCTTCTTTAAGTCGCGACGTTGGGTAAAAACGTCGTCGGACCTTTTGTGATTTGTTGGCGAGCATTGGCAGCGGGCCTCTCATCAAGCTTTTATAGCATCCTAAGAACGTCTTAAAGAGTGCCTCGCAAAATTGCTCTTTCCTCTGACTTCCATTTGGACGGTGCTGTTTCGCCCAGACATTCCTTTAACAATTCTTCGTCAGCTTTTTTCATTTCGAGGGCATTTGAAAGCGAACTATTTGGCCTGGCTTTAGTTTTTTCACGTCATGGAGCATCTCGAAAACTTGAGTCTTCTGCTGTTCGATGGCAGCCTAGACGTTGTAAAAAGTTACCCCGGAGAGGCTCGCCAAAACCTTCAGTGATCATGAGTTCATCAAACCTACAGGCGCTTTTTACGGCCGGAAGCTTGATTTTCAGGGGAGAAATATAAAATATTTCTGATTTTGAGGGACTTTAATGGGGGAACGGGGACTTCGTTCACTTTAAATTCATCTCGTGACAGGAAGCAAGGCAGCATTAAAATTCTTATGTTTACGTGACTACTCGTTTTCGGAGTTGCAATTGTCGCTTGCTTGTTACCACGTTTTTCTTGACTTCGTTTCGTGTGTGTCTGTCATAAAAAATTCAAACCTTAAATTAGAGCACTTCTAAACATCCTAGCAAGTTGAAATTTGGCATGCATGTTTATGCTGCCTAACAATTCAAGATTTGATCATCAGAAATAATAATTAAATTTTTTTTTAATTAAAAAATAAAAAAAACACTAAAAATTCACGGTTTGGAATTCAGTTTTTTCTCAAACATCCACACTAGCCAACCCTGGAAATTGATTTGAATTGCTAAAATTGCTAACTAAAAAGTAGAAAATAAATAAATATTAAAATTATTTTTTAAAACCACGTTTTTCTGGTTTTTACAAAAATAAAGATAGTGAAATAAAACAAATAAAAAGACTTTAAAACCACGTTTTCTTAACGGACAAAAAAGAAAAACATTTACTCTTACATAACATTTAAGTTATGTAAAATGTAATGTAATGTTATGTAAGAGTAAATGTTTTTCTTTTTTGTCCGTTAAGAAAACGCGGTTTTTAAAAGTTTTTTTATTTGTTTTATTCCTTGTTTGATTAGCTACATTCTTCAGGAACAATTAACTACTCTATATTTTGGTATCATTTCTAGCGAAAATCGATACTTTCCTAAACTCGGTTTATGTATTGTTCGTAAATAATCATTATCAAGTACCGAAAATATAATCATATCCGATTGAACAATCAATATCTGAACTCGTAATGATGCTGTAACAAGAGATCGTGAAATAAAGAAAGACTTTAAAAGTCATAGCTATTAAGTTCATAACGAATTTAACAGACATCGTTGCATTTGAAAATGAAATTATGAATGATTCCATTTTGAAGACATTTTCCTGCACTTGTAGTTTGCAATCTAGCAGGCAATACATATTTGGGAGAAAATCTAAATAATGTAATTATGAAATTATCACAGAATTTGAACGTTTTACAATCCACAAAATTGTATTATCGGAAGAAGCTCATATATGCAAGAAGCTGGTACTGGTCAGCATATTCGAATTAGCATTTGAAAAATATATTTATTTCTAGCACCGACATTTCAGAATAAAATTTATGTGGCATCAAACGTCGGGCAACAAGAGATCGCTTAGGAGAGGATATAACAGCTTCTCTAAATCATCCTCGAATGTCAGTTCAATAAAATGGAAACCAGCCTAGTCGATATAGCTTTTTATAGCTTATAAATTATATATTATATACTTATAAATTTTAAAAATTAGCAAAGGTCGTCTTAAAAGCTTATTTTGCAATAATTAATTCAGTCAGAGTGTGCCTTTTCCCGCGGCGCTAAAGAAGCCAAATATTTTCTAGAATGAAGAAAATCTCATATTTTTGTTTTCCTTTCGAATTAATTAAATAAATGTGGCACTTTATATATTAATTATATATATATATATATTGCTTAATTTAAATAACGTTCATATACCCTCAATGACAACTTACCCATATTACTACAGCCAGCGAAACCTTGATGTCCGTAGGGCTCTTCTAATCAAATAGGACTTACCAAGTTAAGTTCATCACAGCACCGGGTAAGTCTCTAATTCAAAATATGTCGAAAAGTTCGCTTCGGCATAAAGTTGGAAGTACTTCTCGGAACTTTGGCAGGACGATCGTCAGAGTGAAACCTGGACCCTGCGCAAAGTTACCCTAAGACTTCCAAAGGAGATCCGCAACCCGGGGACTCGCACATTATGCTGATTAAGTTATCCTGGTTGCAGGGCGGGCGTCGCTAGAGGCAAATTCGCCATCAGAAGAGACAGAAAGGCCATTTCCGGACTCCTGATCTTAGGAGATGTTGGCACTCGAGTTTATGAGTCGCAATGCCCCTGATAATTATTTATACGATGACATAATATTATTATTGCCCATAATTAATTATCTCATAACGAAAATTCATACGGAAAAAATTATATTTCAATTAAACTTGATGTTTAATTGAATTGATAATTCAAGATTCAAGTTTATTTGATAGCGCTAATCAATCAAACATGGTAATTTGCAAGTTATCAGCTATAACTAACTATAATGACTGAATTACTTGAACGAACTGAAAGAATTGGCATTTTAAGCATTTTAACATTTTTTCTCGTGGTAACTAGTTGCATTAAATATTAATACAAAGCGTTTTCAATAAGATTAATATCAATATTAAAAAGGTAAATAAAATCGCTATTATAGTAGGGTAAATATCAATATAAAACGCTGTAAGATAAATACCACCTTGAGTCGCTGTTCGTAAGGCAAATATAAATATCAAAAATTATTTTCTAACATTTATATCTTTCAAAATTTTTTTATTATTATTCTATAAAAATATTAAAATGTCAATATGAAGTGCTGTAAAAATGATAAATATCACTATTTATCGTATATCGTATCGAGCGGCTGTTAACGAGGCAAATATCAAAATAAGCGCTCCAGATACGGCTCTTTCAGAAGTGAAACTTACAGCAAATTAATTGTTCCAGAAATTAGCATAATTCAACTGCACTGTAAATGTGGATTTCCGACTTTACGTGTGTTTTTTCAATTTCTGATTGGCAACGGCAAGCGTTGACGTAATAGCTATAATATTAAAGTAAATACAACGTGGAACTCAGTGATGAATTCCATGCTCAATTTTTACGCGGTTTAGAGCCCTCGTTTGAGTGAAATTCAAAGGGTTTATGGAGACCCGCTGGAGAAAGACATCCTTCCTCCTGATAAGCCTGCGCTCAGCCGCTCCGTTTACCTTTGTTCAGAATCACAGACGACTGATCACAGGCCAAATGATTGACCACCCATAGGCCGCTTAATATTAGTCAAAGATTTTATTGTGAAGAGAACAGCGATGTGATCCTCAACCTAAATACAATAGCCGCGCTTACGACCGTTGGGATAACATGGCTTGGATTACGTCGTATAGCTTCAATTATAAAATATTGTGAAGATTTGTGCATGCATTTATTTTCACAACAAAACTTCGCAATTCCGACTCGTGTTCAGCATTCAGCCACGTGGACGAAGGTATTGAAATATATAAATATAATTTTATAATTGTGAAACTGGGCTGATGCATGCGTTTTGGGTTGACGGGATAAAAGTAGAAGAATATTGAAAAACTTTTCTTTCACAAAGTAATAATATAATGACAAAGACATATGCAAATGAAGTCCAGAAGCGACTTTAACTGAGAAAATTTAACTTATTGGAAAAATTTAACAGGATTTGTATCAATGTTTAATGTTTATTTAACTAGAAAAATACTTTTG